TCAATGTTCAAGTGGGCGGTAGCTGCCAGAAACAAACTCCAAACTGGTAGGTGGAATAAAAAAGACAAGAACAAATTGAAATTTAATTCTGACTTGGAAAACAAACACTTCCTTATCAAGTATGGAAAAATCTAAGATTTCCTATTTAACCCCCAGAAATTTGTAGTTGACAAATGTCAGAGTATAGAGTCAGAAAAACTTCACCACTTTATGAGATGAAATTCCTATATGTCAAGGGTGGGGTTAAATTATGTTTTCCTTATGAATTTTTAAAGCCTTACACTCATCAGCGTCCTCGGTTAGAAAAAAAAAAAAAAACATAGAAGAAATAGAAAAATAGGTAGAGGGCAACGCCTCCTTATAGTTAAACCTATTTTACCAAAGAAATAAATAAATCAAGTACTAACCATCCGAACTGCAAAAGGAAACTCAAAATCCATACAACCTTTTTGAGAAACATAGGTAGCAGCTAATGCATTTTTGCACATGAGGAAGTATATCAATCATTATGAGTAAGTATTTCATAATGAAAAGTGGTATCAGGTGTCTAGGAGACTAAGCATACCCTGCCTGGCGCCACTTCTTTCACAGAAGATATTTCCTTAGTTCTGTAGATATATAAGAGATGACCATCTCATTGCTAAGTGTGAAAAGTGCCTTTTCCGAGATCTCTGTGCTTGACTATGATTTCCGTAAAATATTTTGCAATTAAAAATTTTTCTGGAGGATCAACTTTAGAAAATAGTTTTCAGACTCTTCAGACAAAAATAGCCATCAAGGAGCAAAACAGTTCTAAATCAAGCACCTATCAATCTTGGCATCTTACTTCATGAATTGTAATTTGTGAGTGGGTGGAATAATTCTGTCAAACTTGACAACAGATATCATGGTGTCAAGTCAATTCCATTAAAAATAAGTCAAACCATATTACTATCCTGAATTATTCATGGCTTCTCCCCTCTTCTCTAAATAGCTCATTTACTTAGCCAAACAACAATTTATTTGTTTGGTTGTTTATAGTCTAGTGATAGAAACCAAATATTTTGCATTTGGTGATATAAGCACCCAATTCGGCATAAAGTTTCTTAAAGATGGGTTCCCTTTATTTTTATTTATGAAAATGTAAATGCTAATACTTATATGAATAGAAAGTAGAGGTGTTCTAATGACTTGGAAAAATACCAGTTTGTCTCACATTTCCATAATTAATTCATAATTAGCTAAATTAGAAGAGAATTACCAGCAGAATTCCAATGAGTGACCGATCAAGAAAGGTCAAAAAGTCTTTTTTTGTTTATCCAGACTGTACATACATGGACATTTATGTTTGGTTAAAACTCTTAATTATATGCAATAAGAACATAATATGATTAAGAATACATGATAATTCACTAGAAACACCAATTAATCTAATAGTTTGCTTAATTATCACTAAAAAATAAGGAAACCTATCTTTAAATATGTTGTGAACATTTTGGATATAAAGCAAGTGAAATTCCCCTGCATAAGACCATCATAAATCTATAAATTGTCTATATTTCTAGATATATGTCAGCTATAAACCCATTCTTGGTGTTTAATTGTACATTTTGGGGGTCAAGGAATGCAATGATTCAAAATAGTGTTTCTAGGTGGAATTTTACGTGGCTCTATATCCAAAAATGTTTACAACATATTAAAGTTACAGTATGCCAAATTTATTACTTGTATCATAAAATGTTTTGTTATGCATCTGGACTATTACTATGATTTCAATGCAAGCTGTTCACTGGCATGAATCAAGTCATTATAGATTCAAAGCATGTCATCTTAACTTCCAGTCCAAAGATTTTATTCAAGCTCCTCTCAAATTAGTCAAGTCTTGGTTGTAACCAGCATGCAGCAGAACATTCTCGCTCTTTTAGATCACCTGATACCACTTGACAACTGAGTTTGTGAACGAAGCATTCGATTTTTAGAAAAAAAGAAACAATATTTTTTTCTTAAATAACAGCAATATTTAGAGACCCTATCTATTTTTAATACAATGATCCTTTCTACACTGTCTTGGCAAGTTTGTTTTAATATCAAATTTTATTAATTACTTTTAAGAGAAATGGATTTTCAGTCAAAATTTTTGACATTTTTAGTTGAGGGAAATGTATTTCTTTTCCAATGCAAACTTGCAAAAATTTATTTTGTTATCAATACAAAGGCCTCTTAGACTTTGATTACACCTACCTACAACCTTGCGAAGACAGTAGTTTAACTAGGCTATTATTATTGGCCTTTCAAATGCTGGTCAAGAATTACTTCTATAGGTTACTGGTCATAATTATCTGACCTATAGACCAAAATGTTATCATGTTTTATTGATAAACCATTATTTATCAGTAGATGAAGTTATAAAATGTTATAAATAAGTTATCTAACTTGACCAGTGATGACCACTGACCATAAAATAGTACTTTATCAACATCAAAGGTCATTCTAAATACCAACCTACTATAAGGCAATAATACCATAGACATAAACCATTCCTTTAAGGTTGATTTATAATACAGTGGATATATACTTAAAGGGACAGATACATCATTGTTTTTGACCAATCATACTTTCATCTGAAAAATGGGATTTTTTTTAGCTAAGCCAATCAGTGATAGTGTTCACAGCTCACCATCGAAATTTGAACCTTCAAATCCATGTGTGTCCAGAATTATCGCCATTTTAATGTTAAATTGAGGACCCGTCATTTTTAGACAATCTGTGATATATAGAAAGACATTATAGAAATAGTGAGTAAAATTCCAAGTTGTCTCAGGTGTTCGAAAAAACGTCCCAAAATTCAAAAGGTAGTGTCTCAGCTGTTAGTAGACTGATCTCTTTCAAAATTGTCAGAGATATATTTCAAGATGTTGTCCAATTTTCGTGCAAAGTTTAACCATCTATAAAACATGGGGCCTCCATATTCAAACATTTACAACATTATAGAAAACCCAGATAATTCTATTACAGTCATATTGACACCAGATTTCTAGAAGGTACTTAGATATTAAAATCATATAAGGATGAACTTCCAGTCAACAGGAGCCACAAGTAAAACTATGTCAATCTTGTATCATAAGCAAACTTCTACAATTTCTTCGAAGCAAACAAAAAATTCCTGTTTGAAAACAGAAACATTCTATCCAGCACTAAAAACACAGAATTAGGCTTTTCAATTCCATTAATATCTATTTTATTAATTCTTAAATGAGCAAACATCCTTAGAAGATATTGATCTCTAGTTTGAAACTGACTGAAATAGATAGGGAGAAAAAGGAATGTCTAAGAAAAGAAACCTGACATGATAAAGACTGTCTGAATACATATTCTTTAACCATAGACATAGACTTTATGACACCTTACATAGACTGAAACACAAATACACATGATAACTCTGAACAACTTTTATTCTAATCAAGCTTTAAAGGGGCATATTCACCATCCGTGCCATCAAACAATCATACCTTAGTCTCAGAAACGGGAATTGATTAGCTAAGCTGATCATTTACAGCTCACTGTCGAAATTAGAACCTTCAAATCCATGTGTATCAATAATTATGTTAGAAAGATACATTGAGGATACATCTTTACATGAGACTCTACCATGTTGAGAGCAGATAATTTTATAAATGGATATTTTATGTAAACTATGCTATCATTTAGAAGGTACTAGGAATTAATATCACATTTATTAAGTGTGATAACTGTTGCTAGAGCATGTGCACATATTAATTCCTATCTTAACCTTTGTCTACAAGACATACAATATTCACTCAGGGGAGAAGCCAGTGAAGATAGAAATAGAAATTTCAAGTAAAGTTTGAAGCCTATTTGAAAGGATTAAGCAATTTCCCCATTGTTCTTGTACATCTGAAAACATTTACGTATACTGAAGGCCCATATATCCTCTCTCATCCAGTACATGTACTCTCTTTTGATTTACTTTCAATCCTCTCTCATCCAGCACATGTACTCTCTTTTGATTTACTTTCAATCCTCTCTCATCCAGTACATGTACTCTCTTTTAATTTACTTTCAACCCTATCTCTTCCAGCACATGTATTCTCTTTTAATTTACTTCCAATCCTCTCTCATCCAGTACATGTACTCTCTTTTGATTTACTTTCAATCCTCTCTCATCCAGCACATGTATTCTCTTTTAATTTACTTCCAATCCTCTCTCATCCAGTACATGTACTCTCTTTTAATTTACTTTCAATCCTCTCTCATCCAGTACATGTACTCTCTTTTAATTTACTTTCAATCCTCTCTCATCCAGTACATGTACTCTCTTTTGATTTACTTTCAATTCACTCCCATCCAGTACATGTATTCTCTTTTCATTTACTTTCAATTCACTCCCATCCAGTACATGTATTCTCTTTTCATTTACTTCCAATCCTCTTTCATCCAGTACATGTACTCTCTTTTGATTTACTTCCAATCCTCTTTCATCCAGCACATGTATTCTCTTTTCATTTACGTTCCAATCCTCTCTCATCCAGTACATGTATTCTCTTTTCATTTACTTTCAATCCTCTCTCATCCAGTACATGTACTCTCTTTTCATTTACTTTCAATCCTCTCTCATCCAGTACATGTATTCTCTTTTAATTTACTTCCAATCCTCTCTCATCCAGTACATGTACTCTCTTTTAATTTACTTTCAATCCTCTCTCATCCAGTACATGTATTCTCTTTTCATTTACTTCCAATCCTCTCTCATCCAGTACATGTATTCTCTTTTCATTTACTTTCAATCCTCTCTCATCCAGTACATGTATTCTCTTTTCATTTACTTTCAATCCTCTCTCATCCAGTACATGTATTCTCTTTTCATTTACTTTCAATCCTCTTTCATCCAGTACATGTATTCTCTTTTCATTTACTTTCAATCCTCTCTCATCCAGTACATGTATTCTCTTTTTATTTACTTCCAATCCTCTCTCATCCAGTACATGTATTCTCTTTCCATTTACTTTCAATCCTCTCTCATCCAGTACATGTACTCTCTCTCATGCAGTACATGTACTCTCTTTGATTTACTTTCAATCCTCTCACATCCAGTACATGTATTCTCTTTTCATTTACTTCCAACCCTCTCTCATCCAGTACATGTACTCTCTTTTCATTTACTTTCAATCCTCTTTCATCCAGTACATGTATTCTCTTTTCATTTACTTTCAATCCTCTCTCATCCAGTACATGTATTCTCTTTTCATTTACTTTCAACCCTCTCTCATCCAGTACATGTATTCTCTTTTCATTTACTTTCATTCCTCTCTCATCCAGTACATGTATTCTCTTTTCATTTACTTTCAATCCTCTTTCATCCAGTACATGTATTCTCTTTTCATTTACTTTCAACCCTCTCTCATCCAGTACATGTATTCTCTTTTCATTTACTTTCATTCCTCTCTCATCCAGTACATGTACTCTCTTTTAATTTACTTTCAATCCTCTCTCATCCAGTACATGTACTCTCTTTTCATTTACTTTCAATCCTCTCTCATCCAGTACATGTATTCTCTTTTCATTTACTTTCAATCCTCTCTCATCCAGTACATGTATTCTCTTTTCATTTACTTTCATTCCTCTCTCATCCAGTACATGTACTCTCTTTTAATTTACTTTCAATCCTCTCTCATCCAGTACATGTACTCTCTTTTCATTTACTTTCAATCCTCTCTCATCCAGTACATGTACTCTCTTTTCATTTACTTTCAATCCTCTCTCATCCAGCACATGTATTCTCTTTTCATTTACTTTCAATCCTCTCTCATCCAGTACATGTACTCTCTTTTGATTTACTTTCAATTCACTCCCATCCAGTACATGTACCTAATTGATTATCTACCATTAACCCTAAATTGTTCACTACTCTCATTTCATTTATAATAAATCTTCCTTCAATACAAGCTCACACGACACGCACTTTCATTTGCCAGGTATCAAGGCATCTTTAACATGAGCTCAAATAATACATGTTCTGAAATAGATTTTATCAGTATCATCACTAATGAACCAATCATTTGAGCTATTGATTGATCAAGCTACTCATTTATTGTGGAAAATGACATGTTTCACACTTTATAATAGAAATAATAGGTTAAGGTCTTGTATGTAATACTACAATTATAGGTTAACAATGAAGGTCTTATAAGTAATACTACAATTATAGGTTAACAATAAAGGTCTTGTATGTAATACTATTATAGGTTAACAATGAAGGTCTTATAAGTAATACTACAATTATAGGTTAACAATAAAGGTCTTGTATGTAATACTACAATCATAGGTTAACAATGAAGGTCTTGTATGTAATACTACAAATATAGGTTAACAATAAAGGTCTTGTAAGTACTACAATTATAGGTTAACAATGAAGGTCTTATAAGTAATACTACAATTATAGGTTAACAATAAAGGTCTTGTATGTAATACTACAAATATAGGTTAACAATAAAGGTCTTGTAAGTACTACAATTATAGGTTAACAATGAAGGTCTTATAAGTAATACTACAATTATAGGTTAACAATAAAGGTCTTGTATGTAATACTACAATCATAGGTTAACAATGAAGGTCTTGTAGGTACTACAATTATAGGTTAACAATGAAGGTCTTGTATGTAATACTACAATCATAGGTTAACAATGAAGGTCTTATAAGTAATACTACAATTATAGGTTAACAATGAAGGTCTTGTATGTACTACAATTATAGGTTAACAATTAAGGTCTTGTAAGTAATACTACAATTATAGGTTAACAATGAGGGTCTTGTATGTAATACTACAATCATAGGTTAACAATGAAGGTCTTGTAGGTACTACAATTATAGGTTAACAATGAAGGTCTTGTATGTAATACTACAATCATAGGTTAACAATGAAGGTCTTATAAGTAATACTACAATTATAGGTTAACAATGAAGGTCTTGTATGTACTACAATTATAGGTTAACAATTAAGGTCTTGTAAGTAATACTACAATTATAGGTTAACAATTAAGGTCTTGTAAGTAATACTACAATTATAGGTTAACAATGAGGGTCTTGTATGTAATACTACAATTATAGGTTAACAATGAAAATGAAGTAAAATGAAAAATATAAAATTCAAAGCACCTTCAAGGCTACTGAAGTCGGGCAACACCATGCAGTGTGCAATGAG